AACCTACAGGTGTGGTGCGTACAACCTTCAAGGTTGCGTGGCGATCTGACCATTGTGGCGAAAGGTCTGCATTTTGGGAGATTTTCGTGTACGGATTGCGAAACAATCCGCCGCGCCAAATCTCGTTGACGACAAGAGTCAGCCTAAGGATCATAAGAGATCTCCGGGGGTTACGCGAGTTGGAAACTACGGGTGGGCGTGATGGACATGAAGCGCGAGTTTCCGCCTGGCCTCGCCCGTGTCTCTCACCCGTTCAACTCTCCAACAAAGTAACTTGAGCCACACACCAGAAACGCTCTCGACAAGAGCCCGCGAGCGCGATACACCGCAGACATAGGTGATCCGTTATCCTGGAGCAAACGCTAGTTGTGGTTGTGGGGGACCGCTGTGTGCGTACCACACGGTACACAGGGCAAGTTTCTCTGCAGGGACAGGCCATCAGGCCATACATCTCTGTTGGGAACAGAACAGAACAGAACAGAGGGGAAAGTGGTAGAGGGGGGCGAGTGGGGCTGCGCACAGCACAGCGCCGACACAGGTGAATGCCGCAAAACAAAAATACCGTCCTGTGGAAGACAGGAGCTGAAAAAATCGACATCGGTCGCACCATGGGAGGTGGCGGAGTTCTGTACCATACATATCGTGGAGCCCAGACGGAATATTTCTGCTTTGGACGACGCTGCCGGTAATGACTTGGTCTGCTCGCAGCAAGTGAGTTTGCAGCAGCGTTGTCCAACCAGGAACGTACCGTCCAGGCTCACAAAATACGTTAACAACTCCGCCGCATCCATGGCTCGGCCGATGTTGATTTCAACTCCAGTCTGTCGCAGTGTTTTTTAGTTCCGTCTTGGTGTCGGCTTCCAAGTCAACGTCGACCCTGCCGCTGCTGACGCCAGATAAGGGCAAGGTGCACTGCCCAGAAGCGTCTCGTTGCTCGCATAGAGCACCGCTGCCGCCGCTATCGCGGAGAGATAACAGGCATCCAATGTCGTCTCGCGGGGGGGGGGGTTATACAGCGTATCTTCTGGCTGCCCGAGGGCGTGCGGAGTGATCGTCGACACATGTAACAAGAGAGCGGGCTGGGAAGAAAGAGAGACGGGTGGGTTTTGCACACTCCCCAACACGAACGCACCTGGTGTTGGCAGAAGAGGACAGCATCGTCCATCATTGCTCTTGCTTTCGATCCACTCCCCTTACCATGCCTCGCTCCTGCCCCACTCCCGCCTTTGACCACCTCTGCTATTGGGCCGTTCCCCGCACACGGCAATCAATGCCTCTCGTCCTTCGCTGCCGTGGCTCGCCGACCCCTGCTCGAACCGCGAGGACATCGAGAAACAACAGTTACGAAAATTGTGCGCATTTTTGGGCTGCTGCTGCAAGATAAAGAGTGCTTCGCCGATTCCGCGCCTCGTGCTACGTCGTTGCCCTGCTACTACTTATGTTGGTGTGGATTGTTGTGGTACCGTTGTATAGATCCTAAGGCTTGACATGATGAATATGGCTTGGGACGGCTGTGCTCGTAGAAGTCAGATGGTTGTTGTGCAGTCAGGAAAGACATCATCAACACGATCGTATTGACTGACCACAGCAGTAGTATCCGAACGGGTACAAATCTATTTTCAAGAAAAGACAGGCATAAGCTCCGTTCCTCTAGATAACAATGAGACCCAATACGGGTACACAAAAAAGTACCCAAGAGAACAAGCGGTCCAAAGGCGCATCCTTCTCCAGCAAGGGCGACGCCGACATCCCTGTGGATCAAACTGCATCCCGGCCGGTATTCGAGTATCTCATGTACAGCGGTATTCGAGTATCTCATGAATCTCATGTACATTGAGAGATTGAGAGGCAGGTGGTTCCGCCGCACCCAAACCGACTTGCTGAGGTATGCTACGTCCCCCGAACAACACACGCAGGAAACCATTGAACATAGAAGCTGAGCAGCTTCGATCTTGTCGTGCAGGAACCCACCTCCTTTGCGCTTTGCACCTGGACCTTGCAGTGGGTACTCCTCACTGCTGTCGTGTTGTCCAGCACTCCCTCCTTTTGGCCTCTTCCCCATCCCCCTAATTTCTCTGTCGCGGAGCACCCGATCGTCGGAATAAATACGTAAGCACACACACATCGCGTCTGCTGCATATGCCGGCAATGGCGTTCTCCACGTCAAGAGCAGGCAATGCCACGGGTCTGATGCGATCCCTATGCTCGTTGATGCCCATATCCATCACGCTGGTCTCTTGCTCCTCTTCGTATGCAGCTGCTGCTGCTGCCGGGACTAGCTCCGGTGGCGGCAGCAGCAGAGGCTTTGCGCTCAAGACTCGAGGAGGGGCCAGTGAGGAGGAGGCTAGCACTTCTGTCTGTAGCCCTAGAGACAGTGGGACCAACAAGCACTCCTTCAGGTCGACGGTGAGAAGCGTGGCTAGCGTCGCTTGGTTGTTGGCTGTTGACAGGCGCACACACATGACAGCAATGACGTTTGGTTTGCCGAATGTGCCGCACTTCCTCGGGTATTCCATCTGCGACTCCCCCCCCCAAGAAATACTACTGCTGTGAAGTCCAGTCTCCAGTCGGTTTCAATCCACTTACTGAAAAGACTTCTCCACATCCGTTTCGACTGAGGTTATATCTCGAACGGGTAGACTTTCTGTGCGGTTATGTTTACTTTCTCAAAAATACTACTGCTGTGCGCATGTACTAATACTGCTGTATGTCCAAGTACTTCACTTGTATTGCATGTATGTACCAATATTCCTACTTGACCTCCTACCGTATCTGCCAATCACTCACATTTACATCATTTTCCTTACGAACACTGCCCTTTCCTTTTTTTTCGTTTTGAAATCAAGCCGACGAAATCGTAGGCGTTGCGTTGTACTCCGGAGTGTACACATACAGCTGGCCTCTTTTTTGCTCGTTGTTTCAGGCTTGAGAATGGACGCAGGGACAGACTCTTCATGTACGCATGACCTGAAGACGTGAAGATAAATACTACAGATGTGCCGTGCTTCAGGCAGTGGAATTTCGACCATCGCGAAAAAATGAAACACACTGCTGTACCGAGCCAAAAGAGTTTTGAAAACGGCCTATTACGCGCCAGAGTATGTACTTCGAAGCAATAACATGCTGTTGCTGTTGGGCGTGTTTTTTTTTTTTTCAGTTTTTGGGACGCAGTATATCCTAAAATATAATCACAGCAGTTTGTAGTATTGGAAACCCCGGTCGTCCAAACGGAGGGGATGGTACCAGGCGTCATGGGATCGTGCAGGGTGGAACGAAGCCGTCGCTAATGCTTCCTGTGTGCTCTGTGTTTGCGCCATCAAACGCCGTTGTGTGGGTGAGGTGCGAGGGATGCCTCTTGCACTACTCTCTTCTTCCTCTTTCTATCTCCCCACCTCTTGTCTCTCTTCGTAATCCGATCAAGTTTTTTTTCTTTCCCACTCACTCCTTTCTCGGTCATCCAACGCCTGACTACGCACCAACAACCTCGCACTTCGCCCACCATGGACATGCCGCACTTTTTCTTTCCTCCCGGCTCCAGCAGCGGTGCAACAGCTAGCCACTTGCCCCGGCGACAACTTGCCTTCTATTCAAGACTACACCTGTTGTTTTAGTTTGTGTGGCCAATCCGCCCCTGTTTTTTTTTTTGTGGATGAACATTTTTCGTCTCAGGGACACCCGGCTGTTCCCGATGGGCTGCGTCTCAAGCAGGTGGTGGTGATTTGTCGGCATGGCGACAGGTGAAATAGAGTTTGCCATAATGCGACATGGTGGTGGTCGTCGTCGTCGTCGTTTAGCGGCGGGGAGCAGAAGGGGGTCATTGTTTTTGGGATTTCTTGTGTTGTTGCAACCCCTGCCTTGTTGTGGGATAAAAAACCAGTAGCTTGGTATTATGGAAACCTAGCTTGGTTGTATCTGGCAATGTCCACTGTGTTGAACGAGGCTAGAGTGACTGCATAAGCACCACACTTGTTTGTAGACCAGAGAAGATGGTTTGACTTGGCGCTTTGTTGGCCGAAACGTACAGGAAAGAGTAAGAGAGTCGGGGCGAGCGCCACGTGGGCAAGGCATCAATCCTCATCCCGGAAAGAAAGCACACACGGGCTATTATTGCAACAGTAGCGATCACGGCAACAGGCGGCTATTCCAATCTGTAGCACCATTCCAAGAATATCCTCTAGGACAATGGTCCGATGTAGCATACTCCGATGGTATATGTAACCCGTCGGTGTGTACAATGATCCGATCACTGCGTCAACATTCTGAAGCCTTTTCCGTAATACAGCAGTACTAATAATTAGCGACATTGAGTATCCCAACAGTTGCTGCAGTTGCTGTTGCTGTTGCCGTGGTTGCGCACCACAATGACTGATGGCTCCCACGACACCGGCACAAGACAGTCAATCTCGAAAATAGTACTTGTACTGACTGTGTGCTGCGTTTTCGTCCCAGTCTTCCTTCCCAAGAAAACACCACCCACCAATAACCACAATAACGACAATCAACATTAAGAACAACGATGATGATGATGATGATGATACACAGGGCTCCCGTGTCGAGCAGCCTGGGGAAAATTTTGGACGACGGCCCTGACTCGGTGAAGCTCTGGAATTCCAAGCTCCCGCCCAAAGAAGAGGTGATGAAAACGTAGCAGCAGCAGCAGCAGCAGTGTACAGTGGAAACTCGGTTGAGGACACACCTGCTTTTTTTTTGCTGAAAAAATTGTCCTTAACCGGGGAAGTGTCCTTAAGGTCGATACCTCTCCTTATGCTGTACCAGTACATTCTGCGAGCCAACATGCCTGCGAAAACACTTTTGTCCTTAGCCGGGGGAGTGTCCTTAAGGTCGATACCCCTCCTTATGCTGTATGTTCTGCGAGCCACCATGCCTGTAAAAACACTTTTGTCCTTACTTAACCGAGGGCATTTCCTTAATTTTGGTGGCCATAAGCGAGGCACGACTGTTCCATGGTATGCCCTTTGTGGGGTATGGTTCATTCTCCCTTTTTGTTTCACACTGCTGTTGTAGTGTGCCGCTTTGTGTTTTTACGCCATGAATATTCGAGTGGTGATTGGCGGAACCCACGCTCTCTGTCCATTGTGTACGTACTTCGATCCCATCCCATTTGCGTGTCTTGTGATTTGTGGCCCTTTTGTTGAGAGCTAGCTGCTTGTTTTCTTACGTCCGCACGCATGGTGATGTGACGAGTCTCTGGTTGAATTGCTATCCATATCTATAGTAGGCACGTAAGCACAGCTGTAAATGTTCTCTCCTGCGTGTCCGTCTCACCCCCCCCCCCCCCCCCCCCTATTCCATCTCTGCACCACTTGCGCAGCGATATGACCCCCCCCGGTCAGTCTATCCAGTCTCTGTTCCCGGGCCCGCCTTTCCGGCTTCCTTTACACTTCACCCCCACGCACGCCAATGATCGCTCCCGGTGTTTCCTACAGTGTGGCTGTATGTCCCGTCCCTATTAACTGCCTCAATCTGCTGCAC